GGCCCCACTTATGCCACCTTAATCAAAGTTCACCTGCACTACTGCAAGAGTCTTCTCCCAAATTTCTTCCTTCTACTCTTGGTCCCCTCCCTGCAACCCATTCCCTCACAGCTGCAAGAGTAATGCTTGTGAAACATAACTCGGATGCTTCCTCTCCCACCTGGATGCAGGTGTGTGCCCCATCTAGAGCATACTACCACCATCAGCCCCTGCCCCGCTCTGCTCCCACGCTTCTCTCTCTGCAGCCCACACTGCCTTCTAGCAGAGCAGGCTGCTGCTGTTCCTCAGACACTAACCCATTCCCAGTCCACTGGCCTCTGCACTGGCCACGCCCTCTGCCTCCAGTGCTCCTCCCCATCGCTTTTACACTGCCAGCTCCCTGTCATTTGGATCTCAGCTTAAATATACCTCCCAGATCCCCTCCTCCATTCACTCACAGTCTGAGTGCCCTGTGTGAATCCTCTTAAGTATTTCTTATCATTCTCTACTATTTATATGTTCATTTATTATCTGCCTCCCCCACATACCCCACCTAGAATATAAGCTTCAAGGAATCATTGTTTCATATGACTTTATCTTCCCTCTAAACCCAGTGCTGGATCAGCGCCCAGAATAGTACGAAGCACCTGAGTGGGAACTCAATATAATGAAGTTAGATGAATACATGCCACAGGTGAAGGAAACCTTAGAGACTACCTAAGGGCAGGTGCCAGCACTGTGGCTAAGGTCCTGGACTTTGGACTCAGGCAAGGAGCAGTAATGCACTCAGGAGATGTGGAAGTTTAGGCAAGTTTTCCCTCCTTTTCAGGCCTTACTTTTCTCCAGTAAAATGGGGATAACAGCACCTGCCTCATGGGAGTGCTGGGGAGAACTGAGAAGATAAATCACACATAGCATCTAGGGTAAGGCTCAGCACAGACAAAATTTCCACTGTTGATGAACAATCCCAACCTCCAGGTGGGAAAACTGAGACTCAGACAGAAGCATGCATCACTGCCCAAGGTAAACACTGAACTAGCAGCAGAGCCAGGTCAGAAAATGCTGTCTCCAGTTTCTACCCACTGTTCTGCTATTCCTTAGGCATAACAATGATACAACGACCTGAGACCATGCCCCTGAGTTATATGTTCTTCCTTGTTCCAGAAAAGATCTGAAATACCTGACCAAAGGTGTACATAGTTCATGATTTTTTTAGGGAGAGAAATGGGAAAAGTAAGGTGAATGAAAGGAACAAAGTTTACAAAAATTAACAGCCATCTGTCTCATACCATTTGCTAGTGGTAGACTTCACATTTGGCTCTGAGCTTCACGGAGGCCAGTATAAAAGAGAAGAAAATACCTGTGTACGGGCCTTTAGAACACTTGCTTATTGAAATGGCACCGCAATTTGTGAGGACATGTTGCTATCCACTTGAGAATCACCTGGATTGTCACACTCTCACCAGCTAAAAGTCAATACCTGTTTACTCCCCATCACAGGCGCTCTGAAGTCATACTACCTGGGCTCAGATCCCAGCTCCACTACTGACTGCATGATTTTAGGCAACTGACTTGACCTGTCAAAGCCTCAGATCTTTCCTCTAAAAAATGGACGTAAAACATAGTGGATAAATGGATAAACAAAAATATATGTGTATGTATACATATATATATATATATATATAT